AAAAAAAAAAAAAAAAAAAAAAAAAAAAAAAAAAAAAAAAAAAAAAAAAAAAAAAAAAAGAAGGAAGGAAAGCAGAATGGCACGCACGCAAGTTAGAGAATATGACCATACAGTCGACAGTTAGTTTCTCAACCTTCTCTTTAACGAATTTGAATCTACCCATTTTCATCAGTTTTATCGTTTTGACTTAATTTAGGGCATATTGAGGAATTTTGGAGAAATTTGGAATATCCTCGAAGACCCCAAACAAGCTCGAGAAGTCTACAATCAATTAAGTAACTATATGGAGCAAGTTTCTAAGAAATAGTTGTAGGAGTAGATTAAGATTGAGGGCAATGATTGTAGTGTATTGTTTAGGAACCTAGTTTGAAAGGATTCCTCGTAAGCATAGTAGAGGTGAAATCAAAAAATGCTGACTGGTAAGGTCATGAACCAATTGAAGATTGCAAGCATCAAATTTCAGAAGCCTCAGGTAAAGGGGCAATCGGTAAATAGGTGAGATTGACTTTCAGATTCTCTATCGTTTGACACCAACTGGACGAGAGAGCTTGAAAAGGAGCCCTTTTTTGAACCATATTTGGGGTGTTGATTGCATCGTGGGACATCTCCCATAGGAAAATTCGAACTTTTTTGGGCAGCGGCCTTGCCAAATTGAGGTATACAAGGGCAAAGATCCATGGTTCATAAAGGAAGCATAAAGGGATTGTACGGTGAAGTCGATGTCCAGGGGTCACATCCATTTATCCTTACTGCTATGGAGAAAATTGTTATCATTTGACAATTTAACTTTTTTGGGTGTTGATTGCATCAAGAGACTTGTCATCATTTTAATTCCTTTTAATGAAAAATTAAGAGAAAGGGACCCGATCAAGAAGCCAGTCCCATATACCTAGGTTATAAAGACAACTAGAAAGAAGAGAAACGAAAGATCAAAAGACTTCTTATAATTTTAACTTCTAAATCAAAAACTAGGGGAATGGGACTCAACCAAGAAGCTAGTTTCGTATTTCTAGCGGTCAAGAATTTATAAAGATGGTGGCAAAAAGAAAATTTAAGAAATTGGGACCAACCCAACAGTGTTCCTACAGGCAAATGCAAGACACATGGTCATAAGAAGTTTCCAACACTAAGTGCCTGAGCATATACTGGTAACAGAGTACCATGCATTTGATACAACCAAAACTTATTGCCAATCTTTTGCCATACAGCTAGAGAATCTGGAAAGGAGCACCACAACTACTTGCCAAGAAGAGCAGCCTTCTTATACACTGGATTCTAACAAAACAATACCCCATCCCTAATGGACAAGGATGCAGCCTACCAAAGACAGCGAGCAACTTTCAGTACTAGCTGTTTCCATAAGTTTCTGGATGCCCCTGAGTTGATTGGTGTTTTCATATAGACGGTGAGCAACAGCGCATGGTTCAACTTTCATGTTCGCATTTTTTACTGATAGCTAAATTTCTATGGAACAGTGATGCCAAATACCTTCTTTGGGAAATTTGGGTGGAGAAGAATACAAAAATATTTGAAGTAAAGAATAGGAGCTTCAGTGACTTTGAATCTCACTAGATTTTTAGCTTTTAGATGGGATCTCCTGTCCAGAGAGTTCTGTAATTATAGTCCTTTTTTATCCGTGCCAACTGGGCCTTTCTTGTAAGCTCTTTTAGCTACTTACATAAAGCCATTCTTCATCTTTCTCTATGATCCTTGGTGAATGGAATGGTTTCTAATCAACTTAAATAAATCGATGTCAACAAACCCAACTATAAACTAGCCAATAACAACCCATCTTGATACTGATATTGTTGTTTTGATCCTACACCCCAACAAGATAATTCCTGAAGGATAGTTAACTGAAGTGAATGCCCTCCCTACTAAAAACCTTCAATATAGCTTCTTCACACCCCTCCATCAATCAATCTTCTTGGGCAACGAAGATAAACAAGAACAGAGATTCCAAGCTTCACCTCGACTCGAATCAAAAACGATCAAGAAGATTGTGAATGCACTCATACAATTATACCTAACTTTGTCATCCACAAAGACTAATCAACATGATCATGAGCCTTCCATAGTCAATTATAAGAAAAATAACCTCCTGAATGTGGGATGTCTAATTCGAAACGGTCTCACCTAGCAATTCTAAGTCCGAGAGACGCAAACAGCTAAAGAAATGGCCACTCTTCTTCCATATTCACGAAGAAGACTAAAATAACGGTATGCTCAATTCCCAAGAGAGAGAGTTTAGAATTAGAAGACATTAAATTTCAAAATTCAAGTAAAGGAAGACAAAGAGTAAAGGAACCAACCTGTTGGCACCACTTGGCAAGGGCATAAAGGCGGAGTACCCTCTGCTGGGTCTTGTAGACATACTTGAGAATGTTAATTTTCTTCTCGGAATCGGATTGGTCAGAGGATTTAGAGTTGTCTACAAGTTCTTTGAGGGAGAGGAAGGAGTCCTCAGCAGCACGCGAAACCAGGGCAGAGAATTCGACCGTTTGCTGGCCTAGCTCGGCCGCCATGATTAGGGCTTTTCCGTGACCCAAGGATGAACTGGGAGATCTATAATGCGGAAATCATGGGAAGCTAGGGTTTCGGAGAGGGGAATTTGAGGAAGACGAAGAGTTGGGAATACACAGTTATCAGCTAAGAGAGAGAGAGAGAAAGACAGAGAAAAAAGATTTCGGCGTTGAGATTGGTTTTTCTATATAATTCCTCTTCTTTTTTTTTTTCTTTTTTTTTTTTTTAATGATTTATAATTTTGGAGGGCGCTCCTCTGATCATTTTTGTCCACGTGTCATTTCCATGGTCAACGTTTCAACATTTTTTCTCCAAAATTAACATTAATTTATTAAATTAAAACGATTATATTAATTTTTGGAATTTTTTTTATTTTCCATATTAAAAAATCAATTATTAATTAATTTAAAATTTGACGACCCTTAGAAATAAATTAAAAAAATTTCAATAAGTAAAAACTAATTTCAAATTTTTAGAGTTCGTTATCTCAATCTTAGTTTCATATTTTGTTTGAGCCGGACCAATTAGACATTGAAATGATTATAAACGTAAAATCTATGTACGATGAACAATAAAGTAGGTATCAATCACGACACTTTCATGGTCGAGTTAGAATAAAGAAAATAATAAATCGAAAGTTAAAAATGAAATATATGTCAATGAGGATTTGATGTTCGTGACAAACTGCTTCATCCACATGGTTGATTTTGTTGAGCTTACCAAGGCACGAGACCTCGATGAAGGTGTCTACAAGACAATTGAAGTCGGATTTGCTTCCACTACATATGGAAGTAAATCTCTAATTATTTAGATTTTTTTTTATGGGAGAAGAGCGTTTTTTCAAATGAACACAATTGTTTGATGATGTATTGTAGGACAAACTAGGAGTGAGTTCTCTTATAACGAACCATGGTTTAGCTGGCTGGAGGTTATTGTACTTAGAGACCATCTCGTTCTGTAATTTCTCCGTCAATCTCGTTTTATTAACCGTTTAAAATTAAAAAAAAATGATAACCGGTTTTTAAAATTAATTTATACTTAAAAAAAGAAAAAGGGGAAAAAAGGAAACTATCATATATAATTGGAATGATTTAGACTAGAAATTACTTTCATTAAAGTTGGGAGACAATAATTAAGTTTGTTGAATTAGTTGGTTAATGTGTTTATTTGTTCAACATTTTTTTGGATTAGTTTGCTTTAATGAGTTGATTACCCTCTTTAATAAATCCTACCACTAATAATTCTTACTTTTATAAAAAATGTTTCGTTCCCCTATCCAATATGAGATGTCACAATGCACCGCACCTTACAAGTCCAGCGTTCTCACTGGCATACCATCCAGTGTATGTCTCTCATATCATTTGTAATAGCTCAAGCTCTTCGTTGGCACACTATCAGGTGTCTAGTTTTAATACCATTTATAACAGCCAAGATACTGCTAGTAGATATTGTCTGTTTTGGCCCGTTATATATTATCATCAGCTTCACAGTTTTAAAACGCGTCTGATAGAGAGAGGTTTCAACACCATTGTAACTTTTCCATTTTAACTTGAAAATTTGTCTATTAAAACAAATTTGAAAAAATAAAAAAAATAAAATAAACTTTTTTAAATTAATCCAAATATTTACTATAAAATTTAAGATTTATATCTAATATATATATTAATTTTTAAAACTTTGAAATTAAAAATTTAAAGACTAAAATAAATATAAAACACAAAAAATTGCAATTTAATAAAAATTATCGAAACAAAAAAACAAATATATATTATCTTGCAATTGATGATTATGTCACATTAAATTACATATACAAACTCTTTCGGTAATTAACATAATTTCCAAGAATTAATATGAATAATCACCAAAAAAAAAAAAAAAAAAAAAAAGAATTTT